TTCACACAGCCCTTTCTCTAAACTACTACAACCTGAGCTAGAGTAGTCTGGTGAACTGAGGGGAAAACATCAGGCACTCACCGCATCGATGTCGCTGACGCCGGCCGATCCCGCAGCTGCCAACCACTGTTGCGTAGCCAGCTCCGAATCCCACCGCTGCCACCACTGTTGCGTAGCGCCGGGCCTATCCCGCCGCTGACCTCCACTGTTGAGAACGACGGACCGATCCCGCCGAAGCCACCACTGTTGCGAAAGACGGCGACGCCAACACGGCCCCGGAGGCGCCACTGCTTTCAACTCCGCCGGGAAGGTCACCAGCCGTTTGGTAGCGTATGTTTATCAGCTCGCGACTGCTTCTGCGCAGAGCTGATAAGACGAGCGGACGAGACGACGGTGAGCTAAACAAGGTTTATGTACAGCATATTTACAGAGGCGTTACAATTTCGGCACTGGGGCCGACAGAGACTCGAAGAGCCTAACTCTCCTCTCTAACACATAGGTCAGTCTTTCGCCTAAGACCGCTGACTCACACACATGTCGGCACTCCGACACGGGGACGCCTCTCACATAGGACCGCCGATCACGACGCGCCGCAGGGCTTCTTTTATTTACACCGGGTCCAACCAAAATGTCCAATCAGAAGCGCCGCTGGTCGTCCGGGCAGATTCCGCCAATGGGGGTTGCCGCGCCATGCGTCAGACCACCAGGCACGAGAACGCCGGCTCGCTGTCACGTGCGCAACTGACTCACTGCACGTGGGCCAGAGGAGCGCCGCGCGTGTTCACGCCGTCGAGGTGATCGCGCCAGGCAGACTGCGGGCTGGCCTTGACCCAGATTGCCTTTTTCAGAGGCACGGTCGTTTGACGAGGACTCGCTGGCATAACAACGCCTAGCCGAGCTGCAAAAGGAGTACGCGGACAAGGACATCTTTAACCTAGACAAAGCCGCTCTCTTTTACAAGATGCTGCCTAACCGCACATACACACAAAAAGGCGAAGCGTGCTCAGGCGCTAAGCAACGAAAAGACTGGATAACAACTCTTTTTGGTGCCAACGCTACCGGCGTTGAAAAGCTGCCCCTCCTCATCATTGGCAAGTCGCTGAATCCCAGGTGTTTCCGAAATGCACGGCTCCCGAGGGATGTGACCTACCGCGCAAATAAAACAGCCTGGATGACTGCGGCGCTTTTCGAAGAGCATGTCCGTGCGCTTGATCAGAAGATGGCAAAGGACGGTCGGAAAGTGTTGTTTGTTGTGGATAACTGCCCGGCCACGGAAAAATCGACAACTTGGCGGCTGTTACGCTGGAGTTCCTGCCGGCGAACATGACGTCCGTTCTCCAGCCAATGGATCAGGGAGTCATTGAGATGGCCCGCAAGTATTATAGGAAAAGCCTGCTGCACCGAATTCTGCTGTCATACGACAATGGGAAAAAGTATGAAATCGATCTGCTGGGTGCAGTCAATCTGATGGCCGAAGCCTGGCGCCAACTACGCCCACTGGCGATTGCTAACTGCTTCGCACATGCAGGGTTTTCTCGCTCTCCGGAATCGATCGGAGAAGACATTGGCGCAAAATTCAGTGGCTGTGATGAGCTGTGCAATGAAGTTCGCAAGGCAACTGTCTGCGTGAGCGATACTGAAGACGGCGAGATCGCCTTTGAGGAGTATGCGCTCTACGAGGCCGACGTCCCCGTTACCGGAATGCTGTTGGACGCCGATATCGTTGAGATGGCCGTGAAAGACGCAGATGACCATGCAGATGAGGAAGAGCCTCGAGAAGTGCCTACGACGACAGAAACACGTAACATGCTGTGCTTGCTCCGCAACAAGGTCGAATGCAGCGGTGGCGACCAATGGCTCATGCGATGTGTTGAGGAACTGGAGAACGCCTTTCTCGGACCGAATGCTAAAGCGAAACAGGCGAGCATCACGCAATTTTTTGGTCCTCGGTAATAAATTTTTTCCCCTCTGAATTCTTGTGCCTTTACTACGGTAGCTGTTTTGTGCAGTAGAGCTTTTCCTAGCGGCACTGGCTTTTCTTTTACAGTGACCTGGGCGAACATTTTCGGCGTTTTGCTTAACTCGAAATACCGCCTATCTCGAAATTTTCCCCGGATTTGATGGCTTCGAGTTAACGAGAGATTACTGTATTAGATTCGTATATGTGACCAAACGTACAATGATTTTGCTTGAAACTCTGTTCGAATGTACTAAGCGTCCTATAGGCGTAAAAGCTGTAGATGAATCGTGCAGTGTTTGTAAGTTCGAAATTGATAACGGGGCATCGTTATTTCATGTTAAACATTTCGGCCTAACAGTTATTTCTTGTGGAAGGAAGTGCTGCGGAAGATACATAAAGATCTTTGCTACCGTAACCACTGTTGCCTCTGTGTCAGAACGATTGCTCGGGAACAGTTTGCGATTCATATTTTTTGACAGTACTTCGCTAAAGACCAGCCACATAAACACGACTAACGCAGAAAATATGTCTGTGCAGATGGCTCAATCGCATCGACTCATGCTAACGTCAGTCGGTTTTACTTAGGATCAAACTAACGAGAAGTACAGCTGACTACACAAACAAATTAGGCTACCTCACCCGGGCTTCATCAGTCTAAGACTCGCCAGTTTTTTTTTCACAGAACTCATTAGGTGGGAGTTGAAATCAGTCTAAGCTAGTTAGCTTACTAGCTTTGTGACATGTAATGAGGACGGAGAGCTGAAATCGAGAAGGCGGGTTGCACAAGAGAAGCGTTACTTCCGCGATTCATATCGCGAAAGTGTACTGGTTTCAAAAATCTCGCGAATCGATAGCAACATTCACATCCTGAAATGATTGGCCGTCAGAATATGAACAGCATATCACAAAACGCTCCTCTTTCGACAGCCAGCGACAAGTCTTTCGTAATGTGAGGAAGATATTGTACAGAGCTGTCGGCTCCAGCACCTGTTACTAAAAGCGCAACACATTCAAGAACACGGAAGCAAATGGTCGCCCACACAAACTCGGTGGTTGCTCGGGACCACGTGCAAGATATACGGCTACAGTCCATGGGGATAGTATATGTGCACCGTAGAGCGCGTGGGTATAATACGTTTGTTTTACCGGCCGAGAAAGAGTTCCATAGCCATGACACAAAGCACAGGCGGACATCTCAATACATTGTGATTTAACAGTTCCTTACGTGAATGCACATTGTGGTTTTTTTATAAGACATTATGCTGTTTAAGCTAATCGTAATGTGTCCGACCCTACCTCCAAAACCCTCGATGCACCATTGCCTACCAATCACTCGCCTAGCACGGGTGGAGTGAAGTCATCTAAAGCCGCGTGTGCGCCAGAGTAGTAGCTGCACGTGGACTGCACCGAAGCACTCGAGCGAACACGAAACATCTCTGCACTTCAATCAGAATGACGTTCTGTCGACCCGCTAACGTGCTGAGAAATAACTGCGCAGTCACCGCGCTCAAACACGTAAAAAACAACAAAAAACATGGTCGATCCCTCCGTTATAGGAATCGGTAAAGCCTGAAAGTAAAACGTGCCCTCACCGAATTTGTTTATTGTTCAGTTTACATTGCTGTCAGTATTTGCGCAATGTCTATTGTTGTTTGACACCTATACTACGCCTTAACCTGAACGCATTCACGTTGACAATAATTCATACGTCTCCATTCCCATGACTGACGTCAATAATTATTGAATAATAAGCCCATCTAGTTTCTTAAAATTAACTAGAGGTGATTCTGGTGCTGCGATCATTCAGGTACCTTAGGAATGATACGTAGTACATGAATTTGCCTTGTCTTCGTACTTGCGGGTGGCGAATCAAGCTTGTGGCTTCGTTTAGAGCTGTCTTTTGGGTTTGTTTCGAAGGAAAAAACGAACCCTTTTGAACTTTGTGATCCGATGGTAAGCCAAAAATAATGAAGTGATGAAGTGCAACCTCCTAACATTTGCTGATTTTTGTTTTGGAAGAAGATAGCTTCAAGCCACACGATCGCACACGGAGCCAGAAGTATGAAGATTAGACAAATACGTGTACTATCCTTCATTTCCTTGCACGCATAAATGCCGTGCGTTGCAGCTTCCATATATGCTAGCGCAGGAGTTCCCTCTAGTGCATATTTAGGAAACTGTATGAACAAATCCTTGTGGTCAAGATGCCGGCGATCAGTTAACTGTGAGAGCGGAACCAGAGAAAGTGATGCGACAGCCAGATAGCGTGACTGACTTGACGCCGAACTTGGGCTAAGGTCGACTACTCACGGGATGTTCGAGTTTTTGAACATTACTGCATGACTAGAGGGGAACGCAGCGTGCGTCGCGTCTTCCCTTTGGCTGGTGGCGATTATTCGCGGGGTGAGCGTGAGTAGAATACGCGCTAAACTAGCAGGCGTCGCAGACTTAGTATTAATGAATGCCATCTGCGAACGCGATGATTCGGGCAAGGTGGTCACCGGGGATGTGTTAAGGCGTTCACACAATCGCATTCTCCTACTGAAAACACACCGAACGGGACGGACACTTAGAAATGAAGCGTCGAAGGAACTGGTCGTGGGTTCCACGGTTGGGATTCTTTACTACAATTTAGCAAGAACGCTGCGAGAGGATATTGGTAGATATAAAAGTCGTGTTTTTAAGAAGTAGCAAGCATGTGTCTGTGGCGCAGTGGATACATGCACGCCCGGCGTGAGCCGTGACCGACAGCGTCGCCGGAATTTCTGCGAAACGCACTCGTTAACGCTATCGCAATAAAATGATGAAATCAACCTGCTCCGATGTTCATCAGCGTTCGCGCGACCTAGGAGAAGCTGTGCACCATTTATCGATATTTTTCAGAATGACAACCATAACTTCCCCAACTGGCCCAACAGTCAGCGTTTCTGAATAATAACAGTGTTTCGGTATTGCACGCTTTATTGCACGCCGTAACTATACATGGCGTTTCTCGGACTAAGTTACCGCGTTGAAATCGATACCGCATTCAAAGAAACCTTCAAAAGCAGCCGTAAGGAGAAGGTGCTGCCCTCTGGGGATGCAATGTCTCCACTGCAGGTCCGCCGTCCGATGCAGAGAGTTGGTGCAGCTCCATCAGGGATGACGGCACCAGGCAGCGACTCGTCATGCTCTGCGGTAAAAACATTGCGACAGTAATCTAATTCAGAAGTAACATCAATATTATATTTAGGGTTTTACGTATGCCTTAAAACGACAATATTATGAGCAGAGACTCTGTAGGGAAGGGCTCTGGAAATCCAGACTATCTCGAATTATTTGACGTGCACCGATTTTGTACAGTACATAAGGTTCTACGATTTCGCCTCTATAGAAATGCGGCAGCAGCCGGTCAGCAGCCGAGTCCCGTGACCGATAAACCACCGCGCCACACAGAACTACGAGTGTAGAAATAGAAGACAAGCGTGGTGACATGCGACGCTTTCATGTGCAGCGCAAGGAACGTTTACAAATGATAGAAGAGTAATTACAATATCTGGAGTTTTACAAGTCATAGATTTCATACGTTAAGGATGACTGCCAGTTGGGCATGTTGGTATAATATAGTTAATATAAAGAAAGCTCCAATAGGCACGACCGTTCAGAAAGGACACAGGACGAGCGCTTACTAGCAACTGAAAAATTTTGTTTCAAAAGGAACACATATAATGCGCATGTAAGTCATCACAAAGCCTCGCATTATGAACAACAACGTGTAGCAACAAAAAATCACGCCCATAACTGTTTCTATACAACCGATAATGTACATAGTTTGCCCCGAAGCAAAAGCAAGGAAAGAGATGCACTGAGTCATGAGAAATAAAAAAATGCACACAAATTTAGATTCTGTTAACAAAACAGACGCTTGGCTGACGCACTTGTCGTCTTTTTTAATTCGATACGCCTCCCATAACTCTCTGGTCGTCTGCTTTTTAAGCCTGCCAACTATTTGTCTGTTGGAAAGCTTCGGGTGGCAAGCACACTCCTTGCAGTGGTTTGCTACGTGTGAGTACGAGTTCCCTTTTTGTGAACTCTTATGTTCACGAAGGCGCACATTCAAAGAACGACCTGATTTTCTGGCGTATTCCTCTCCACATGTGTAGGAATTCCATACACGACATTTGTTTTCCAATTAACATACTATAGTAAGCGCTCTTCCTGTGCCGTTTCTAAGTGCTTGTACTTATTTTCACTTGTTTCATCATGAACACTCATGTGATTACGAGCCGTGGCGCTATGGAAGGCCAAATAAATAAGGACCATGCAAGTGGTGTTCGTTAAGGGCGCCCCGCAACGCTTTTACAGTACGGGCAGAAAATCTTGCCGGTCGGAAGTCAAGGCTGCCGAGAACATGCGATACGAAGATTATAGCGCAATGGAAGTCCTGTAATCTGTTTTTATTCGTTACACTAAGCTGAAAATTGCTCGACCTTCTGTCAACAATTGATTCCAATCGCACAATTAGCACGACATGCACCCCTTGTTGATGGTCAATGACTGATTAGAACATCATGAGTGGCATAATTGTGGCGGTGGCCGCGCGATGCCGCCACACACCGGCGCACGTTAGGGTGCCTCGATGCGTGCGCCTCCACTCAGGGTGCTGTCACCTTCTGAACGGCTCCCTTCGCTATTGTAGTGCCTGGAACGTCTTCGCCAAGCTAGGATAAATTTCGAGAGCTACGGACTGCCAGTCGAGAAGTGGATGGCTACGATGACTGGCTCGCAGCCCTTACGGCAGACTTCGATGCCACCAGGCAGTCGATCACCACTACGCCCATCAATCCCAACGCCGACCCACACCTGCTCCACCTGTGGGACGCTAGAAGGGGCTAACAAAGCGTTCGAAGCGTAATCCTAGGCTTGGCGCGCGTATTGAGCGCCAAGCCTAGAATTACGCCCGGACCCTGATGAGAAACAAGTGGAGGGGATTTTGTAATCGTCTTGCCGGCACCCTGAGTACTGCTAAGACATGGAACATTCTCCGAGAACTTATTGAGCCATCGGGCACGGAGACGCAGACCCAAAACAACGATTGCCTGTCCTCACTCATTCGTTTAGAGACTGTCCTGACTATCTTCTACATGAATTAAAAGCACGTTATATCCCTTCTGGAGCGAGTCTTTAGTATCACTCATGCCCATACGACACAGATTCACCCAGTGCCCTAGATGCCGAAATCATAATTCAAGAGGTCCGCTCCGTAGTAGAATATATCCGCAAAAACTCAGCGCTGGGTACTGACGCCAACCGGTACACGACCTTTCGAAATCTCAACGACGCAGATCTTACGCACCTAGTAGACACGTTTAACGAGCATTGGCGGAACGGCGCGCTACCCCAAGCATGGTGACATGCAGGAATTTCCCTCATCCCAAAACCGGGGAAACACATCTCTGTCGAAAATTCACGAACGATTTCCCTTACGTCATGTATAGGCAAGATAACGAAACATATTGTCCTGTGGCACTTGCAGCCATTGCTCGAGAGCCAGTCTTTCTTCTCGCATACGCAGTTCAACTTTTGCTCGCACTTATCCACGCAAGATGTGTTGCTTCAGTTGAAAAAGCAGGTCTGGGGACCATCGCGGGGTGTCCGAACCCGTGCTTTGCTTGCGCTGGACCTTAGGGCGACCTTTGACCATGTGTAGCACGATTTTGTTCTGAGCAACCTTGCCGAATCACGCTGCGGCATTCGCGTTTATAACTATGTCAGAGCCTTTCTTTGTGATCGTACTTCCACAATTGGAATAAACCCACGTCACTCGAGCATCATCCACCTCCCCGGCAGAGGCCCCCCTCAGAAGATTTGATTTCACTAGCATTATTTAATGTCGCCAAGTCAGGTCTCCCTGAATAACTTGACCAAATTGAGGACCTTCACCATGTTATCTATGCCAACGATATCACGTTGTGTACGTTTCAGGTTTCTGACGGTGAAATTCAAGACCGACTTCAACAAGCGGTAGAGGTCGTGTCAAACTGTGCTAGAAAGGGTGGCCTCACTTGTGCTCCAAACAAGTCTGAGCTTCTTGTCTTTTGGGACCACCGTTTAAATCGCCCCCCCCCCCCCCCCCCACACATCAATGTAGTCGTCGAAGGAACACCTATGCCGCAGGTAGAGCGAGCACGCATCCTTGGATTTTACGTTGAAGCAGCTGGCAGGCAACGATGCACCATCTCCCTACTCTTCTGCAAGACGGAGCAGATCATCGCCATGTTTCGACGCGTAAGTAATAGACGTTTGGGACTTGGGGAGCGGGTCATCCTTCGACTTGTGGATGCGTGCATTATAAGCCGCTTCAATTATCACCTTTTATTTTACCGGGGACAACATGCGGGGACGCAGGAACAACATGAACTGGAGGACACACTAATCCGTTAGGCCATCAAGATCGCTATGGGCGTTCCACCCTATACTTTTACGCAGTACTTTTTGTTCTAGGAGTGCATAATACCAAAGAAGTACTCGAGGCCCAGTGGATCAGTCAGCGCCAACACTTTCTTCTCACACCAATGGGTAGACACGTACACCACCACCTGGGTCAGCCAGTCCCCCTGAACCTCCAGAAACGTAGGGTACTTCCGTGCCACTCGAAATAGCTGAAAAGCTTCGCGTACATCCTCTCTGCCACGCTACATTCACCAACGATTCATTCTGCGACACGGTCCACCCCAGGAACTGCTCAGTGACCAAGGCCGTGTCTTCCTGTCTGAAGTCGTCGAAGTCATTCTCAAAGAGTGCAACATTGTTCACCACAAAACTGCTGATTACCACCCGCAGACGAATGGCCTCACCGAACGCTTCAACCGTACGCTCGGCGACATGCTCTCCAAGTACGTCGCTGCCGATCACACAAATTGGGATTCAGCTCTACCATTCGTCACCTACGCATATAATACCGCCCCTCAGAGCACTACTGGCGTTTCACCTTTCTTTTTATTATATGGAAGGCACCCGTCATACACTATCGACACGATACTTCCGTACAGGCCAGATCCGTCTGAGTGGGCACCTATTTCTGCTACAGCAAAGCTTGCTGAAGAGTGTTGAGAGCTTGCAAAGACCTTTACTGCACATGATCAAGTGCGGCAAAAAAGTATTCGCGCTGACGCCAGCACTACTGCGCCCACGTTCCTCCCTAGAGCGCTCGTCTGGCTCTCGATCCCTACCACTACAACGGGCCTATCTTCAAAACTATTACCCAAATTCAAAAACCCCTACCGTGTCGTCAAATGCACTTCCCCAGTCAACTACTTGATTGAACCCATCGAACCATCTTCGGACATGCGCCGTCGAGGACGCGACATTGTTAACGTGGAGCGCCTCAAGGCCTACCATGACCCGCTCATTGTAACCAGCTGGAAGGTCACCAGGTGGCTCTCTTTTCGTACCAGGGGTATTTGTGGTAAAGCCCTTGAACAGTGGGTCGTCTTCTCTAGCGCCTTCTAGTGGGTCGCCCTTTTCATAAGAAGAAGAGCTGCTCGTGCAGAGAGTCGGTTTCCGCATTGACTGTCGCTGTCGTGAATCATCGCGGAGTGTCCGTCAATAAACCTCTTAACAAGACAAATAAAGCAACTCAGAAAGGCAAGAAGGTTAACTAAACAACGCCCAGTTTACTACCCCACGCGTGCCGAGTAGCATAAGGAGGTAAAAAAATAGAGAGAAAGAGATAAGCATCTCTGCGCACAATTCGGAACACATGTACACCGTGAAATGTATCAGTGCAAAGTATCCAGAGATGAAACCATCAGTGCACAAACTGCAGAATACACACACACACACATATCGAAGAAGGGGAGGTGGTTGCCCTACAGGTGGTTGCCACAGTTACGTTCCCGTAAAGATGCATTGCTAACATAGTACAGCAGACCTGTTAGGCTATTCTGTATTGCACATGTTGTTACCCAATAACTGTAATAATTATGAACCGGGATGCACTGTCTTCGTCCTCTCCTTCATCTCCTGCGTCACTCTTAAAGCAAGTTCGGCGCTTTGAGCTGTGCGCGTTACAATAACTGTGATGCGTGAAAGAACGAGTGGACGGAGAAAAAAAATAGACGGACAGAAAGACAAACAAAAAATAGAAAGATAAAAAGAAAAGAAAAAAGAAATGTACAAGGCAAAAATGAGTAAAGAAAGAAATAAAGAAAGGAAGAAAGAAAGAAAGAATTGGGGAGGAAGAGAATGAAAAAATAAAGGGGAGACCCTTAAGCTATAGTCGATTGCTATGGCGATATTTTGTTCCTAGTGAGTACTTCAGACAGTTGGAGTATGAAACATTTTCTAACTTGCTATCCATCCACTACTTGACCTAAAGGGTGCAGTAACGTGCGCGTTTTTTGTACTGGGGTTTAGGCTTTAAGCTATGAATTCATCACGATAATATAATGTTCTGACGCTCGATAGCAACATACGCTTGTACCGCGCATCATGACGGGAATAATTATTGTTGTATTGAAGCTTGTATACAGGATGCCTGCATTTGTAAAGTATGAATGTTACTTTCACTCAATTTCGAAGCAAAGGAAGTTATTTTTACTGTATAGTGTATTCACAAGCAGAACACCTGATTTCCACGCAAACGACCCTGGCTCGATCCCGACTGGAAAAAAAAGTTTTATTGAATAATTTGAAATGCATTTTTCTTGGGTTTTCAGTCCCACAAAGATGACTTTTCGCTAGAAAGCAACGGCGCCGATGCCGACTCCGGAATTCCTCCGAAACGAGCTCTATAACGCTATCGCGTTAATAGAAAAGAACCATACAAGGTGACAAAACGTATACAAAGAAATCAATAAATAATAAAATGACAGAGAAAGATGAGCATACAGAGACACGACTGCAAGAAAGGGAGGAACAGAAAAAAATGCAGATACAGAAAATAGGTAGCGGAAAAAAAAAGACTCCGTATCTGCATGCAATCTGCAAATGTCGTTGAAAGACGATAGTCTGGCATGTGGAGAGAGTGAATTAAACATTTATTTGATGTTCTGCGGAAGAAAATTGGTGAATGGTATTCCGGAAACGCTGCGTTAGAGTGCCTTGAGCGTGCAGCGGAGGTAAACGAGCGCATAAAGTCACGTAACACGTGAGACATGAGTGCCATCTGGCAGTGTCTTTTTAGAAAACAAAGCGCGTGGCCCAGATACGGGCGTGCGTGCCCGTCTCAGAGATCATAAGGTGTAGAACGCAAGGCGACAGGTAGGGGCCACCACCGTGTTTTCTTAGCAAAACGTTGGAAACACTCGCCTTTCCGTGCAAGCGTTGCATGGTCAGCGCAGCGTAGTAAGCGCTACGGTCCTTAGAATTACTTATGTATGCCTTTTCTAGTAAAAGACGAACATGCAGAATATATACGTGTTGTTATGGTGCCTCAGATATGCACAATAATTGCTTTTTAAATGACAATCGCACTCGTATGAGCACTAATCCTTTAGCAACATTGGCGGGCGCTGCGGATAGGGTCGGCCATTCGTGGTATCGGCTGGTGCTGTTTAAAGTACCTGGTTCGAAGTAACGATGGACAAACGGACAATTGTACAGACAGACAGACAGACAGACAGACAGACAGACAGACAGACAGACAGACAGACAGACAGACAGACAGACAGACAGACCAAAGTTTTTGCGTCGAAGGTCAACAAAAAAGACTATCGTCTTTAAAAGATGTAAAAAAGAGAGCAAGCATAGCGACGTGAAGTGTACTTCACAGAGGAGTGATAACAGGAAGCGATGGTCAGAGGGTGTCTGCCCCCATTTTTTTATTGATGCTTGCATTAACCGCAGCATACGATAGCTGTTGCGCTATGTTTTGAAGATGGCATTTGTTAACGGAAGCCAGCGCGTTGCGCTTACAGCAGCATAACGCAATGCCAGTTAGCCATGGCGTAGCGCGCATAGCGACAGCGATAGTGCATCACACTACGCCTAATACGACCGAAATGGTTGAGAAATTTCGAAGTATACGAACTACATAATGAAACAACTGCATATTCGTATACAGAACACTTCACTTTGCGTAAGCGCCCGTGTCTCGAGCGTGTAGAAAATGCGCGATAAGCAGACACATTTGCAGTCTTTATTCTTCACTCTAGAGTTAATATAATCAAACTTGTGAGTTTGCCGAATCAGGGTGTTCGGTATTACACACCGATTCACAGCAAGAGAGTAACCAAATAAAGAAAGCGTCCGAAGGCACGAAGGTACCATAGAACCAGGAAACAGCGGCCACCTCGCAAAATGCAGTGTACGCCAGCAAGGGCCCGAGCACTTGGGCGTTGACCAGATGCAGCAGTTGTAGTCCCGCTTGACGCGACACCAGTGGCAGGCCCGCCATGAATCCTACTGCACAATGGGCCATGGCTAGAGCTGGCTTCCGGGGTACCATATCCGGGAGTGTGTCTACCCAGTGCGTCAGCGCAGACTCTAACAGGGTGGCCTGTAAGCATGCAGAACATAAGCACGAGACCTTACTTTCGGCCATGAAAGAGGGCAACTGCATGAATTTAGTAGCTTATTGTAGACCTCGTTACTGTGTGGAAAAAAAACATGCAGAAATAGTAGCATGATTTTTTATAATATGTAGTTTTATGACAAGTAGTGATATTATTTTTGAATACTAAAATAGTTGAAATGTTCAGAGTAATCTACAGGGCGGTGACAGGGAAGGTGCATCACCTCCCTTGCTCTGGGGCACACATGACGACTAAATAAGAGGAAAGCGCATCGATTAAATGATAACTAGAATTGTTGTCTACCACTTCAAAAAAAATTCCAGTGAGAGATACTGAAATTAACAAACTGCATTAGTAAGGACACTCTATGGCTTTGAAGGGTCTATTCAAACTAAAGAAAAACAAGGAGGAAAGAGGAAATGAACAAGGCTGATGGTTCAAAAACTTCAGTCAAAGTAATGAAAGCAAAGGCCTAGGTTTTATTTACGATAACAAATAAAATTTTGTTGAACTCTCGACAGTGCGTTTTAACGCACACGTTGCTTAGGAATGGAATAGCTTTTCTCTTAACACTGATTATTTAATGCATTCGTTTTTTGATAATAGCTTTTCATTTCTAGTAGGTCTGGGATGAAAAGTGTAACTGGTGTTACTACGAGTGCTTAAAACCTGGTGAACAATAACTAGCACAGCTAGGAGGTAAGGTTCACCTGGGACTGTGCACCCAAGACGAGAACGAGGAAAAAGAAGAGGCGCCCGAATAGGCCCAGTGCACCGAGTAGCTGTTGAGGGCAACAAACATGGCGCCTTGACCTGCGTATTTGAAGTTACCGTGAAATGGCAAGCGAAAATGCCTTCCTGATGGGCGTCAAAACTTAAGGACTCTACGTATTTGTGGAACCCGCTATACCGTCACAGTATAAGCCGGAGGAGTGGGCTTTTTAGAGGTCACTGTAATTTCTCTTAGGGCGAATACTGCAAGTACAGTCGTCATCTCTTGGCAAGGGAGAGAAGTACCCTATACGTTTTAAGTAATGTTGAAAAGACGCGAAGTAACCACTACGCTTATATAAAGCCATATGCCCACCTACGTAGAAGCCAACTATGTTTATGCTGTGGCTGATGATGAGAAATTATGGCTGATCTCTTTGTAGTAAATAGTAAGCTTTAAACCCACAGATTGTTATCCATCACACATCGTGTGACGTCTAGCACTACTTCGTTCTTCTGCCATGCATCAATACATCTGTTAGCGAGATTTCCCGCCCGACTTGGGACCTGTATATGGTTGTTTTGCGAAGATGAGGACATGGGAATCTGTGGTAGGATACTCGGATGCCGTGCAGTGTTCCTATTTAAAAATTTCGAAAGTAGCATTTTTCAATTTCCTTTTTTTGTAGCTACAAACACGAAGCACGGCGTCAGATAACATCGGTACCAAAATCGGCGTTTGTGTACACACACCAGCTGATGATAAAAAATTGTGATGCTTCGCTGCAGTTTTCTGGCGAAGCTTTCTTTCAGAGATGGCACACTATAAGTTAAACCGCCGGAGTTAAAATGATGCCTTAGCTCAATTCGGCTTAATTACCCCTTTATATTGTTGATTAGAAAGAGAGAATTGGTCAATAAGGTACAATAGTAAGTTTTTTCACGAGGCGACTGCTCGCAACTACGTAAAAGGAGTTTTATTATCTGATGAATTATTGTATTGGAGAGCGGACAAACAGTTTGCGAAACTCTTCTAAAAAGCATTTTGTGTTTGGTTGACACATTGTTTCTGTATAATATTCAGATGTGGTTAGAGCTTCTATTGTCCGGAACTGTTTCTCTGCTATGTAGAACATGTGAATATGTGCTTATTTTTTTACATATCTTCATGTGTGTTGTTACTCGACCAAATCCTCATTCATGCTATGTAAACGAAATGACTATAGACCTATAGAATCTTGAAAGTGGCGGATTTTATTGTGCGCTCCTTTGATTTATTTAAACTTTACCAACGCTGACGGCGGTGTATCGCATTTCGAATTATTTCGTGAGAGTAGTAAAATAATGTTTATCTAATTCGTGCAAAATGCCCTTGCGACAATTCTACGTTTACCTATTCGCTGTCTAACTGACTGATGAGAGCTCCGTGAAGGTTTGTTTGTGAGAATGTGTGCCATTGCTTGAGTCCAGAGACACGAAATTTTCGTCCTTAAATAGCGCATTCCTTCACCACAACTATACTGGAGTCTGCTCGTACCTGAGTGTAGAGCATGTTCCACAGGTGTGTTAGTCTCCCAGGCGAGAGAACCAAGGGTCGAGAAGACGATGATCGAGTAGAGAAGACTGGAGCCTATCGTGAGCGCCAGAATGATCGTCACCATCCTGCGTGGAGTATATGCGGCCCAAGAGTGAGCAGGTGCCAGGTAATCGTCGGTAAGAAGAGTACAAACTTCCTATAGATATTTGCTGCGTGTGCCTTATTTACAAGATTCAGCAGGAACACAGTGAACCATGCATGTTAATTGGTTGGGCTGTGTGTTTACTTTCCATGTTTCGCGTTGTGGTGAGTGTGACTTCTGTAAATGTTTCGAAGCCTGCGAATCATTACAAAAAAATGTTCAACGTCGCACGCAACTAGATAGGTGCTTATTTTGGGAAGATCATGAGCTGTGTTGGAGTCAATATTTTGTCTATAACTGAAGCTCTTAAGACTCGCTTCGTATGCACTTTCGTCAATAAATTTCTCTGTTGCACCAACGCCGGGAGTGCTTTAGGTGCGAGCTTTCATGTCTAAATATTACGTTAATCATTCTCGCTCAACCATGTGCAAGTATGCGATACCTGCCTGAGGCTTTTACAAATGATGGGTGCGTCGACGGCAAGGCTTCTGTTGCAAGTTGTCTTAGTTCACAAAACATATAGCTCCACAATAATGTTTCCGAGACATCTATATGCAGACTGACTTTTCGAAAATATTTAGCTCATCTCTCTTCAACAAGTCTAGACTTAATATTGTGGTATAGTTGGCGTTGTATTTGATACCGCAATTCTTTGGCTCTAGAAAATAGATAACACGCACAACGTAAGCTGGGAAACTGTTTTTAAGCTTGGGTCGATGAGCTCTGAGCCACGAGGAACACTCCTGCACACATTGTACCTAGGAGCCTACAGGTGGGACTGCATGTTATGCCTGATGGACATGTCCAGCGGCTTGTAGTACATGCGGCTGAGGTGTAGAAAAAGCACGAACGTATCATCGTCATCACTAGCCCAAGCCGATAACGAGGAGAAAGGAACATTATGAGGAAAAAAATGAACAAATTATTACGACGCTCTGTTGGCTACGCAAAACTACAAAAACCAGCGAACGTATCATCAACAGCTAACGGGTGAGGGCAGCCAGCTTTGGCTACCTGATCTGAGGGGGGGGGGGGGCACTCGCTTTTGGGTTCAGGTCGAAAAAGTGTAGCCGAACAGCAGATATATTTTTAGATTCGAAGCAGCTCTTTCAGTAGCCTGTGTAACGGTGTCTCTACGTCCACACCATGCTCCCCTGGCCGCAGCTGTTAGAGCGGTGCCAAGTAGGTCACGCCTAACCTCGCAGTGCGTTCGCGTCGACGTTACTCTCTCCCTAGCCTGTTGCAGCTCACCGCGTGTGACACCTGAAAAACTGTCCCTGCTCTCTCCTTCTCTCACCACGCAAGGCCGTCTGCTAGTAAAAACCCGACTGCTCGCTCTGCACAACCGTTCACTGGTCCCCCCTGTATATGTGGGTACTGGATCGTACGTTGAAATATCAGTCAAGGGCATCTTTACTTGGCTTCAACTTGATGAGCGCCATAGTCAACGTAAGCGTTAGCGCCCGCTTCTATGCATCTACACATAGTTCCCTTCAGCGCGAAATGGGCTACTTTTTTTTCTGTTGTGTCTATAGGCACATGCACACGAACCATTAGTGATTGCTTCACTGAATGAAGCACGTGGAGCTTCATTCTTCTATTTCCAGCACGATCACGCATTGAGGTGGCGTGCATTTTGCTAAATGTCTTGAATGACGTAATCCACGAACCGTTTGGACAGTATACCACCTCAGAATGTAAAAGGCGGCAAACGCATGAATTTTTTAATAAACTTCGTTAGCTGCTTGTTAGCTTGCATCATTGTTATAGGAGGCAAAAATGAAAGCCTCTGGCTCATAAAAACATTTTTTTTCGTAGTTTGAGAATATGACTATCTTGAAATTGGCAAATTTTCAGAATACACTTATGTGTCTCAGCTGGCCATGTATCGCATCTTCTCAATGATTCCTTCCACTGCCTTTTACTTCGATAAAACAATGGGTACCTTAGTTACTTATTGAACTTCTGGCAATGAAACCCCTCTGCCCCTACATTCCATTTCTCGATGTGGCTCTTTGTGAAGGCGTCCACACAATGTTACTCTAAGCGCCTTAGGGCGGCGCATCGCACCGTCTACCACTGTTTTTCGAAGTGTTGCCTTCTAGTGGTAGATTCTCTGAGTGTGCTCTCGTCCACTTTGATCAATATATTGAAGAAGGAATGCTGAGCACGTCTTGTAAGCTGTAAGGTACCCTGTTTCAAGACTAAATTATTGTTTATTAAGCAAAGCGAACGGTCGAGTACATAGCGCGCGTTTAGCTAGTGCACGAGAATACACAGAACAAACAACTTGCCTATGCACGTCGCGCATTTCACGGCAGTAGCTTCCACTGACAAGCGCTGGCCCATGCGCCAGACCCAGCGCAAGCAGCACCTGCTCCGCGGCGCGAGACCATAGCACCGGCTTGACGATGTCGGTGAGGCGCGGCAAGAACAGGTATAGTAGACCACGGCCAGCACCCACCAGCCACGCGGTGCCGAGCGTCAACAGCGCGATCATAGCTATGGGCAGTACCTGCGCAGATGGCGGCGAACGGCGGCGCAATTCGGCCCACACGATAATCCAGGCAGCTGCCAGGCAACCAAGAAGTTCGGGACGGACGCCCGCTTCATCGTTGCCACTCGCCATGCCAAATGATGTGTGGCTGCGTCATGAGCATAGACGAATCAATTAGCGTATGTAATATATAAGGTAGGAAAATACTCGACTATGCCTGCTCTCTGACTCGGGTGTGTTACGTACTGTCGTTACGGCATTGGAGCGACCTAAATAGAGGCTATCAAGACATCTTTTTTGGCGGTACAGCTTGTACGACAGCGTAATAAATATGAAGAGTCAGTTATGCTTGACTACTTTTTATAGACATCGTAAAGGTGCTCGTTTGATGCCATCGTATAGGATTATCCCAAAGAAACCTAACTTTGGTCCCTTAGAACCTGAAACCGTCTTCACTCAAGCCCGCCCGAAAGGACCAAGCTTTCAATCTTAAACTGCACATGCCGAAGACAGATGGATTTGCTTTCTTCTGTATTCTGTTTAAGAATTGAAATTATTACCGACTTCAGTGTCGAGCGACTATAATGTTGATATGCGTCACTGTGAAGTAGGTCTCAATCCCGCCTTGCTGAAAGATTACTAATTGGGTCTGCAGGTATGCACTGCGTAAATTGAAAAAAAAAATCGCGGATAAGCCGAAAACAGCATCACCTTTCAGTTAGTTTTCTTCGAGTCTGAATTCGGCAGCTAATCGCTCGCCTAGACGCTCGACTTCAGTGCCTTGGATGCGCATATCGACATTCATTGCCACCGGATAGGAAGCAAGGATGATTTAAAAAGGCTAAAAAAGAAGCTACCGCAATGCCTCACGAGCTACGCTGAAGCAATCACCTGCCTACGCTTTATCACGGAAACTTAATATAGGTGGATAGTTGCCGTTTAAAGATGAAGCGGGTCCACTCTGCTAATGCAAACACTAGCTTCCTTACAAAAAAAATATTTCTGATAGAAGTAACAGGTTTGAATGAGTATCGGTCCCAAAACGTAGTAAGTATTGGGCCAGAGTTTCTATAAGGGTGCCCGGATACTGTAAGAGCCGAGAGGAATGGCTACCTCATTCATCCTGGGGGAGTGGATTCGTCAAGACAGTTTCAACGTGCCTGCTCCTCACCAAGCGGGGCCGCTCAAGTTACCGACTCAGCCTCTGCTTGCGTACATATGCGTTTTGTACGTTGTGTTATTTCGAAATCCAGCCGCATAGCTGGAAGACAGGGTTGCAATGTTGATTGATTGATTGATTGATTGATATGTGGGGTTTAACTTCCCAAAACCACCATATGATTATGAGAGACGCCGTAGTGGAGGGCTCCGGAAATTTTGACCACCTGGGGTTCTTTAAAGGGTTGCAATGTTATGCTGTGCAGCACTACGCAATAGTCGATAGGCCACCATGGGGACATGCACAAAAAATTGCAAGTAAAATGTTGAAGAGTTATGAAGGTATCAAAGAATGTAGTAGTCAGTAGGTTTGCGAAGCCACCTTACGGTTTTTATCTGTTATATCATCATAGTTATGCATGATCGTATTTAAAAGGTTAGCGCTGTAGCATTACTCGAAGTTGTAACAGTTTGTTACGATTGGAAGGAACATAAAGATGCTTTAAGCATTATTTTTTTAAAATAAAAGCAATAAAAAGGTATTTTGCTAACGAAAAATTTGGACAATGACTAGATTTATGCGATTGGCTTGGCAATGAAACTTTTATTACAGCATCATGTCAAACAGCCTGAAACATAACGTCTGCATATGGCCTTTGGACAGCAATGCTTTAGTACTCACAAGAAGTGCTCATTGACGCTTTCGGTGACGTTGACGCAGTCTTTTGCAACTTCTCCCTCGGTGCACAACCTTTGCATTATAACAAACTTTCTAGAATCGCAATACTATTTGAACATAACTATAAACTTCTTTTCTATTTTTCTTTGCAGATACTCCTCTATTTCTACGGAATGTATATTATTGGATTTATCGCAAGAGGTTCTTTGAGTGAGATTCAGGCTATGCAATTTTTTCAATATTTTCGCACTATTTTTGTTTACACTGACGCTATAATTTTTAAGCTGGACAAGGTAGGTACTCAAAAACTATTTGTGATGAAACGTGATGCCACGGAATGTTAACATGAGAATAGGGGACACCCTCTAAACAAATAAGCACTCTTTTTTAGGCGTTGGAATCCTCTTGCAGTGGTTCCTACACCAGATGAACAGATATCATAGTGGTGCAGTAATGCACTCAGAAAAGCTATAATGCAAGGATTCCCTCTAGCATTATAACAAGGGCTGCACGAGAAGACGCATTCAGCACAATTCTAATGCTTCAAAAAAAGGTACATGAATGAATGCCTTGACGCCAAACAGAGGCAATATAAAACTGCCGAAAGTAGTATTTTGAGTTTCTTAATACATCTTTTAGGAGTACTAAACAGTGGGATAAGACAATCATAATATTAATCAGCCCAAACACTAGACCTAAAACAAATGAGAGGACGAAGACTACCAGCGGTACTTTCGTCTTCTCGCTTGTCATTTGTCTAGTGGTTGCAACGTTTGGGTGAGTCGAAACATTATCATATGTTTCGACTCACCTAAATAGTAATATTCTTGGATGAGAGAGAATCAACACACCACACCAGTGTATTTCTTTTTTTTCCGCAATTGAGAACTGCTCCTCATGAGTTTGAAAATGTCCTAATCAGTCCGACTTTCAATTTATCTGCATGGTTTGTATCGTATGGGTAATGGACATTCACAAACAAGCCCACGCAGTTTCATAACAAGAAATAAATATGAGCTTTTTAACTTTCCGCACAGCCACGCACAAACTCTTTATTGAACTCTCGAAGATTCACTCATCAGAGCCTTATGAAACCTGTGGCGTACAGCTCTGTTCGCAGCAGTTGTCCCATGCCCGGCGATTACAGGACCGCCTAGCGTACCTGTTTGAAGAATGTGCTCTCTTCCTTTTTTGTTGTTTTAGTGGTGCGGAAGTCAACGAGCAAAAGATCATTTTAACTAGCAAAAAAAAACCTTCATCAATAATTCATACGTCACTTAGGCCTAAGTTTCATTACTTTAGGCTTAATTATAGGTACCCATCACACATCTGCTTCCATTCTAGGCTGCGCAAAGCAATACTAGAATGTTTAAAACGATGTTTTTTAGGTTATTTTTTTGTATGTTTTCTGTGTGTAGCCCCACGTGGGTATATATTCGTTCTGCACATCTGCCTAAAACATCAGTTTGAGAGTTCAGTGCTTGTATTTTGTGTGTGCCTCCATGACTTTGCCGTACTTTGTTGCGCCGTTTCGTGATTATGAATGCTTACCCTGGAACCAGGGCGAAAGCAGGTCTCTAGGGGCCTATTCTCCCAGAAGCCTTGGCAGCCGGCCCAGCGGGGAGGAAGCTCGGAGAATGCGAGCAGCAGGTGCAGCACGGCCTCAGCCATCACCGCGCCCATGGAGGCCGTGGCGCACGCACACACCAGGGCCATGCTCACTTCGACACCTGCAATCCCGCAGGATAATGGAGAGAGAAAACAAACAGCTCGCCGATTACAATGTTAAAGTGAAAAGTAGCGCGCACGCGAACGCAAAACTAAGATCCCCATTCACTCGAAGGGCATGGTTTGTTCGTGAGCCCGACTTGATTTAAAATCACATGGGAATAACTAACGTGTTGATTATCCTATATGTGAGAATACGATTGGAAAGCTCTATCAATCGAAACGCAAGCATTACGAGAAAAGATACTAGAGTGGGTGCCATGGTGCTCCAATCGTCTGTAATATTGTTTAGTTCCCACATGTTAATCGGATTTTTATGGCTAATTTTAAGGATTTAATAGAAGCTAAATTTCCCGGTACTCTTATGAATTTGCTACTACGCACGCGGTAAGCTGTTTATATATATATGACCTTGGCTGTTATATTGGCATGCTGATAATCTTTTTAAATACCGGTGTAGAGTATTGCGTTTTGCTTTCGAGCACCCAAAAACAGCATTCTTAAGCTTTTCGGTATGATAATAATGTGAAGTGATTTATTAGCAGTGCAAGGTCGATGCACTTATCAGCGGTGATTGTAGCGCGAGGCACAGTCGAGCAAGGCAGCAGTGATCCGAAGCACATAACGAGCGTGTCGGACGTTGACGTGGTTGCTGAATGAAAGCGCGTCTTTTTTTTCGCAACAAGAAAAATAATGTATAGGGTTTTAGGAGCCATAGCCACCATATGGTTATGAGGATAGCTGTTGGAAGGGCTCCGAAAATATCAGCAATCTATTGTTTTTTAGCGTCCTCTGACTTACTTAAGTGAGGGGAACAGTTACTTTTTAAAAAGTCTCTTTATTGAACAAACTTCATTTGGCAGTTATCCCGTGTGGGCAGGTTTACTGGTGTCTTCAGATTTCATGAAGGTTAATATTGCCGAAATAATGCACATGAGCGATAGTTCTTCTTGAACATTACTCACTCGAGAGGAAACCAGAAGAAGCACAATCGTCATCATGAACTCGGGTAAAAATACGTTGCTACCACTTTGATTGCTGGCATGATAGAATTCACCTATATTATATGTAACTGGCGCAATTACGTATTCTGGCATGACTTAGTGGTTGAGCTGTTGAGTGCTGACAAAAAGTGGCCACGAGGTCAATTCCTTCAGGAAATACATATTTCCCATAATGTGGTGTACAGCAGCAGTCGAGACTGCAGCCGTTTGGCGATTCTGATACTGACTAAGGGAATGAACCCATAGCAGCTTACGCTGTGAATATTCACTATAAGCGTTTATTGCAAATTTCTTTCCACACCTTGTAAATACAAGTCTAAAGGTGTTTGCGAGTGTTGGAAAACATTTCAAATGTATATGACTATCCAGATGAGTTTAAGGATAGTTCAAAGGGGTTGTTTTTGAGGAAGCCAAAAAAAAAAGAACATATTTGGATAATATTGTAGCAGCCAACTACTGTAAACCACAAAAAAGTTGTTCCAGTTGGTAGATATTGTCTGTGAAAGAAGTTTATATTTTTTAATGTGTTTGCATGTCACGTAATCATAAGCCGAAACTACTCACCATGGTATTGTGATATAGTGCTTAATCATGAGGAATTACAGGTGTATACACATTATAGTGCAATGCTTGATTTCCACACCGACTATATGGGCGCGGTTTGTTGCTGCGTGGACAGCATTTCTCTGGTTTTTACAGTAAAGCTGTTATGAGATCAGAACTCCGGTCACGCGCAATTGTCCGCCGCCACCACCGCTGGTGTCCGTAACCACATCGCACGAAATTAAAAAAAAAAACAATTACCAGTGACACAGTGGGGTTGGAATCCAGGTTCTTGGGTGCCAGCGCAGTATTCCACCACTAAGCCACGCGGTTTCTCATTTACTTCCGGCTAAACTTCACAAACAGGTTGCTAAGATAATTATATTACAATTCACAACAAACTATACGAAAAACTTAAAAATAACTAAGGCCGTCAAGCATTACTATAACACATCACGTCCTAGAATTCCTACATGGTCAGTAGGGCATCTACCCTTTTTATCCAAAAAGGTACACATTCGTCTGTTCTTACTACCTCGAGTACTCTTGAGACGCTTTCTTTAATATACTCTCTTGCTGGTCTCCTGTCTTGGTCACAATGAAATCAAGCCATTCTAGAGTGCCATATAATGTGCAAGGCAGTCATCATGATAAAATCGAAAGGTACTCCATTCTCATTCTCCATTTCCAAATACTTGATCCCATGAGGGTCTAATGGGAACTCTTTTTTGATTGTCTTTTGTAATACGTCCCAAAAATAAACTCCTTCCCAACAGTGCAGGAAAACATGGTCAATAGTTTCCGGTTTCTTACAGATAAGGCAGTGAGATCCCCAAGGCATATAAAACCCACGCTTCTCCAGTGTCACAAAACGAGCGCTCAAAACAGGGCGCGCCACCGAATTCTCGCGACGAAGCGCCGAGAGGTCCACGATAAACAAAAAGAAAACAAGCATCCAAAGACTCCCCGGGCGCGCGTCCCTCTCCCCTCGGAAGCGTAGGTTCGCCAACGAACCTCCTCGCATCGGCGGCCGAGCAAGCCCTAGAGAGTTCTCGATAGAAAGGGGCGTGGTGATGCAGGGTTGCGTCATCTTTCGCGGACGGCCCTCGTACCGTCTCGCCCTTTCCCCAGCCTTCGCTGCGTATCGCTCCGACGAAATGATGAAAATTTTCTGGAATCTCGCGCGGAAGGTATTTAATCGAGCAGCCGAGATGGGAGATCAGGAGAAGAAAGTATGCACCAGAGTGCGTAGGGTATGCCGCCGCGTAGTCGGCGAAGGTTTTGTCCTCAGTGACAAAGCAGGAGAAGAAGGAAGTTAGCGCCAGTGTGCCTGGGGTTATTCCGCCGCGTCTGTCGGTGAAGGCTTTGTCCTTGGTGACAAAGCAGGAGAAGAAGAAAGTGTGCGCCGGAGTGCGTAGGGTGTTCCGCCTTGTGGGCAAAGCCTTTTGTCTTCCGCGACCTTGGAGGAGAAGAAGAGGATGTCCACCTGAGGGGTGAAGACTCGAGCTACAAGCAAGAGTGTGTATCTACCGCTATCGAGCGAAGACGCATGGCAACAGCTGCGTGTGTGAAGCCGACGAGTTTCCGGCGAAGAAGTTTGGAGCCTGGAGGGTGGTCAATTGGAAACGCGAGGTTTCCTTGAAGAGAAACTTCAGAGGCAGCGGAGCGACAACAACACTGGACTTTGAGTGAGTGATTCTCGGAAGAGTATCATTCATACTTTTGTTCCAAGAACTTTGGACTGAATAAGTTTTCTAACTCTTTAGTCTTCAAGTGTCTTTGTTGTTCGATGCATGCGACTGCATTGTAGTGCGTATTGTTGTCTGTGTCCGTTGTTTCGAGTGTGGCTGATTGTACTGTGTAGTACATTGTTTGATTGGTGACATATTGTATTCAACTATTGTCGAGTGTGCATACTTGTGTATCGTTTTGATCTGCCATAACTGTGAATATAATTTTGTTTTGGTTATCAACTCTCGGCTCTGACTTGTTCTTTGGGCCACAGCCGGCGCCCGCTGGCGCGCCAAATAGGACCACTTCTAAATTGTCCACGCTTTCGTGGTGCGGTTCGGGGGGCCGATACTTCGGACCTTTGGAATTAGCCCGGCGATTGCCTCCCGAATTAACGGGGCCCGTGACATCTAAGAAGGTTCTTACAGGAAGTGTTCCGGTATGTAATTTAAAAAAGAAGGTTTTTGCACTTGGAGCTGCCGGCATTTTTTTAACTCGTTTAAGTACAGTCTCACCCTTGCGTGCTGTATATAGTGCTCTGTACAGTGGGATGGGGAGCATCGTGTCACATAAGTATTTGTACAGTTTTTTCTTTCCAACAGACCACAGGTAGTCAGTTGAAAAATGAACACACAAAAACCGCACGCTTGCCAAAACTTCCTTCACGTATCCTTGCACAACCCCTGTGGTAGCATGAGGGCTCACAACAAACTCAGGCAACAGTCTACCTAATCTTGTTTGACAAACTGTTAGTAGGAAAGGATCTCTTGTCTCGCGAAAAAAGAAAAATATATTTACTAACTGCTTGATAAACAGATTTCCTAGCCCAAGGCCTCCACGCTTCGCCCGTCTAAACAAATTCGTGCGACTGCACCTTTTCCAGTTAGAAGCCCACACAAATATTGCAAACACCCGATGTAATTTTTGCACATTAGCCGGGGAACAGTACAGTACTTGCATCAGATACCACAGCTAAGACACAAAGAACCAGTTGCATGCAGTAACCCTAGCAAACATGGACAGATAAATTGCATTCCACCTATTTGCTTTCTTTTTGATTTCTTTTATTTGCTGTGTCCAATATTTATCAGTACTTTTGTATGACTTGAGCGGTACTCTGAGATATTTAACTGGTGTTCTTGTCCATTTAATGGCTGCAAAAAATTCTCGTGTTGAAGGCCAATATTTATGCCAAAAGCGGAGGCATTTGCCCCAGTTTATGTGGCTTCCGGTAACTTCGGCGAAAGATTTAGAAACTCTGATTGATTCTTCAATACCTTCATAGGAGGTGCTACAAATCGCAACATCATCAGCATATATGAGTAGTTTGACCTCTGAAAATTGTACTCTAAACCCATTAATGATGTCATTCTGCAATATGAACAGACATAAAGTTTCATTGTAGATGCTAAACAACAGTGAAAAAACAGGGCAACCTTGACACACTGAGCGCTCAATTCTAATGAGGGGGGCAATGCCTTGTTGATAATTAGTCTCGTACTCCCATTTCAATATGCCATGGCTACACCGTCAATAATTATCTTACCAACATTAATGTGCGTTAATGCTGCAAACAAAAGAGCGTGGACAACGCAATCAAACGCTTTCTCCAGATTCAGCTGGAGTATGGCCACACGAGCTTGACTGATGTCAACACAGTCGAGCACGGATCGCATTTTATGAACACCTGTTACTATGGACCGACCTTTGATTCCACACGTTTG